TCTTACTCAACTACAAGTAAAAGTTGCTCAGTCAAAAGTTTACTCAAGTTAAAGTGCTGAAGTACTTTTGAAAATACTCAATAATTCAAAAGTACATGCATTTAAAACTACTCAAGTATTCAAAAGTATAAATTATATTTTCTAATATCAGTACCTTGAGATTAAGGGTCTCCTGCCTTAATTTTCACTCATTGTTTTGAGTGATTTTACAGAACCTTGTAACTCTCTGAAACCACCTGATGATGTATGGACATGTAGAACCACTCTGTAAAGCCTGCAGCATAGAAATGCAATAAAAATAATGACAGCTATTTAATTATTTTTTTCATTAAAAACATCCTCCCCCTTAAAAAAAAAACATTCACTATGGAATATAAGGTTAATGTTGAATCCTTCAGCACAAAACAAACTTCAGCTGTGCCTTCAAGAACTCATCCTATTGAACCGCTCTGCAGCATGGCAACACCACATGCCTTAATAAAACCTGTAAACCACAAAAAATATCTTCCATGCGTCTGTGGAAAGTCATGTAAATCCCTATGTGCATTTAGTCTTTTTCCTCAGCTTTAGTATTCATACATCGCATTGTGTGTAAAAATGTATATATTGACAGAATTTAACACATGAGAGGAAACGGTAACACTGATAACTGAAAGTACTGCCATACTTAACATAGGAGCTTATAAAACAATGGATGTCTGCACAGATGAATCTAGCATCATACCTGAATCAACAACTGGCCAACTGCATTTAAGGAAAGAGAAACAACAACAGTGGATTACAAAGCTGAGCCAAAGGGAACACGTAATAAGAAGCTTCCTAGAAATGTAGTAGAGTCAAAAGTACAAGATTTGTCTTTGAAATGTAGTGGAGTGAAAGTCATAAGTTCCCAAAAACACAAATACTCAAGTAAAGATACTCAGAAAATGCACTTAAATATAGTACTGAAGTAAATGTACTCCATTACTGTCCACCACTGCCCAGAGATCAGAATGAACTCTATTTTGAAAGTGTAGTGAGATAGGTCGGTTAGCTTCATTTAGCTTCGGAGCTCCACTACACGTTATAATATCTGGACTAGTTCAAGTACCTGATATTATACTTAATTTAAACGGGTTCTCTCTTTTTCGAGCTACTTGACAGATATGTGACAGAGATACTGTGTGGGAGATGGTTTAATCAGTGACGTGAGACGTTAAGTTTCTTTGACCCATCAAAATGAATGTGGTCATTTATTAACAGAATCAAAATTTAACATCAAACATTGTACACGTGATTATTCTGATTGAAGCAATAACACATTTTAATTAATGAGCTTTACAATTAGAAAACCATACGGCCATGGTTTCCACTTGCAGCT